CTGGTCACACCTACTGATCTGTACATCAATTCAGAATTGTATTTGCTTTCATTCATATCTCATTGCGCAATAGTACCATAATTGTGACTACTTTAATTTATTTTTGAAGGAATAAAATCACATTTCTGTTGTCATAATCTGAAAACCAAACTTTTAGAATATTAATGTCACAAGATGGAAAGTCACAAAACTATCTGATTCAAATAACTATTGACTCAGTATCACAGAATATGGTTCCTCTCCTGTCAATGGTCCAGCACTATGCAACTCACCCTGTCAGGAGGAACACTGTATAGCTCTGGAAGAAGTGGGACTCCATTTTTGCCCTTGATGAGGACTGCATCAAGAGCCTCTCTATATTCTTGAACCTGCAGAAAAAAGGAAAGTTGAAAAGAAAAATTTAGAGACATTCTGTGGGAACATTACAGAAGGATTCAGCCAAAGAAAGCACTACTACAAAGGAGCTTCCTTAACAAAGTAAAAGGGAGAGGAAAGGAGGAATGGTACTATATCGACTTGACACAAACTAGAATCACCTGAGAGGAGGAAGCCTCAATTGAGAAAATACCTCCATAAGAACCAACCGTAGGCAAGCCTGGAGAGCATTTTCTTAATTAATGGTTGATAGGGAAAAGCCCAGCCCACTGTGGCTAGAGCCAATAATCATGGGCTGGTAGTCCTGGGTTCTATAAGAAAGCCGGCTGAGCAAGCCATGAGGAACAAGCCAGTGAGCAGCACCCCTCCGTGGCCTCTGTGTCAGCTCCGGCCTCCAGGGTCCTGTCCTGCTTGAGTTCCTGCCTTGGCTTCCCTCAATGGACTGTGATTCAGGATGTGTAAGTTAAATCAACACTTTTCTCCCCAACTTGCCTTTTGGTCATGGTGTTTTGCTCAGCAGTAGAAACCCTAACTAAAGCAGGTACTTATTAAATGTTTGTTATAGGTCAAATAGCACACAACTTTTTGTATACTTTAAAGCATTTAATTTTAGTTTTCAGCCTAGTAGGTATGTGTAACTGAAGTCCTTTAACATTGGGATTAGGTTCAAAGAGGTTATGAACTAGTTCATAACACATAGTAATTCATAAACACACCTGGTTTAATATAGTTTAGTCTGACTCAGTCTGCCTCCAAGGGCCTAAGTGATACATGTTACCTTAAGTATACCTTCTTGACCTGGCTTGCCCTTTCTTTCTTTCTTTCTTTCTTCCTTTCTTTCTTTCTTTCTTTCTTTCTTTCTTTCTTTCTTTCTTTCTTTCTTTCTTTCTTTCTCATTTTAAGAGGCTATTAATTTGAGAGTGTGTTGAGGGTGAGATTTTAGAGAAGGAAGCTGGGAGGGTCTAGAGTGAGAAAAGGAAGGGAAAATGATGATATTCTATTTCAATTAAAATATCTTAAAATGATTTTTGTTTGTTTTTTTCAAAACAGGTTCTTACTATGTAGTGTCCTGGAACTGACTATGTTAACCAGGCTGGGCTTAAACTCACAGAGATCCATCTGCCTCCCAAGTGCTGGGATTAAAGGCATGTGCCACTATGACTGACAAAAATGTTTTATTTTTAAAAATCATATGTATGCATGTGTGTCTGTGTGTGGGTACATGATCTATGTGCTGGGACCCTTGGAAGTCAGACATCTCAGATCCCCTAAAGCTGGAGTTGTAACACCTGTAAGTGGTTGTGAGCCACATGGCAAGTGTGTAGATAAGCAAACTTGGGTCTTCCTGAAGAGCATTATATGCTCTTAATCATTGAGCCATCTCTCTAGCCCTTGGCTTGGCTTTTATTTATTTTTAAGTTTTATTTATTTGTGTGTGTGTGTGTGTGTGTGTGTGTGTGTGTGCATGCATGCATGCATGCATTGTGTCTGCAGAAGTGAGAAGAGGGCCTAGAACCCCCTGGAACTGGAGTTACAGATATTTGTGAGCTGCCATGTGCATACTGGGAACTGAGCCCGCATCCTCTGAATGAGCAACAAGTGCTGTTCCCACGGAACCACCTCTCTCTCTCACCTAAAGATACCTTTTTAACAACATTGACGGGATCCTGCTATGTAACCCAGACTGGACTCAAACTCGGGATCTGCCAGCCCTAGCCTCTGAGTTCTGGGATTACAAACATGTGTCATTATAGGAAAAATTCCTTTTAGTATATAAACTTGTGGGGTACAGTGATACTTCAACTCATGTATATAGTATATAATGATGAAGTTGTGGTAATTAATATTATAACATCCTTACTTGATAATCTTCTTTAATGAAAAAAGTCTCATCTACAGAGACACTGAAATGAAGGAAGTCAATGACACTCGTTTTGGTTTTGGTTTTTTGAGACAGGGTTTCTCTGTGTAGCCTTGGCTATCCTGGAACTCACTTTGTAGACCAAGCTGGCCTTGAACTTACAGAGAGCCACCTGCCTCTGCCTTTGAGTACTAGGATTAAAGAAAATACCCCACTGCCCAGTGAGTTTCCTAATTCTTTTTTGGGAGTGGGGGGGGTGTTGAGACAGGGTTTCTCTGTATAGCCCTGGCTTTCCTAGAACTCTCTAGGTAGACCAGGCTGGCCTTGAACTCACAGAGATTCACCTGCCTCTGCCTCCTAAGTACTGGGATTAAAAGCATGTGCCATCATCTATGAGTCCCTAGGAGACAACTCTGTCTCTTCCCTAGTAGGAAGACTCCCCTTTGGGCAGTCAATACGGATACAGCCACTAACTGAAAGAGGAAGATACAACAAGAACACCTTGCTGAGAGCTCTTCTCCCAGCTCATTACCTGTTCTATGTTTCCACTGAAGACCCCATCAAGAATAAAGTATGTCCAGAACAATGGCCATTCACATTCAATGTTTTCAAATAGCTTCAGCTCAGCTGGTTCATAGTACAGACGATTGGGATCCTAGACAAAAATACAAGGAAGTCTGTTCTGTCACTCGGAGACTGGATGTATATCTTTAGTTTAGAGGTATTACAATAGGAGCTTTATTACAGACCATTTATTTCAAAGATAGCATCAGAGAAGGCAGTAAGCACATATTCATACTCCTCCCTCTTAGCAAGTGGGCTATGAAGAAACTTCCAATGACTAGTCTTGAGATAATAAGGAATCACCAGAGATATATGAAAATGTATGTCAGTTTTCTTGTTGCCATGATAAACTAATCTGACAAAATCAACTTAAGTGAAGCAAGAGTTTACTTTGGCTCACAGTTCAAGGGTACAATCCATCATGGAAGGAAAGACAAGGTGGCAGAAGCTTAAGCAGATGATCACAACTGCTTCTACAGTCAGGAAGAAAGCAATAAATGCTGGGATGCAGCTAGCTTTTCCTTTTCATGCAGCCCAGGCCCCAAAACCAGGAAATACTGCCACCCACTTTTAGGGTAGACCTTCCTTCTTCAATTAACCTAATAATACCCTCACAGGCATGCCCAGAGGCTTGTCTTTTTAATCCTTTCAAGTTGACATCATCCATCAGTGTAGGATTGGTTTGCAATCAATCTGAGAGAGGTAACACTAGCTACAAATAGGCTTTGTGGGAAAGTGACCTGCACAAGAATGGAATCCTGGTAAGTCTTCAGAATGAGGTGAGCCAAAGACAGACAAGAATCATGAGTGTGTAGTACTGTGGAAATCAAGATAGGGAAAAATTCAAGAAAATGAAGGAGTAAGTCAATGAAATGCTATACAGAAGTCAAGGAGAATTGGGAAAAGAGTGTAGGACTGTTATTTGATAAGCTTATGTGTCAGAGTGTAGTGCTGTGGAAATCAAAATAGGGAAAAATCCAAGAAAGGGGTAAAAGCCAAATTCCAGGCTGAAGAAAGTGAAAATGAGGAAGCAGAACATGGATTTTACACTTAATTTCAAAAGAGCATAGTGCCTCTCTTGTGTGTGGTGCTAGGATTTGAACTCAGGGACTTGAGCATGCTAGGCAAGCATTCATAATGGTTCTTGAAAAGCTCACCCAAGCCACTCAAGGAGAACTTTTGACTAGTAGAACCAACAGAACTTATATTTTCAAGAACAAGTTCTGTTTATAACTAACCAAATACAAACTACAAATCTTGGAAAGGGCTGCTACAGTTTAGGTTTGTGTCCTCAAGGCTTGATGTGCTGAAATTTCATCCATATTGTGAGGTATTAGGGGGTAGAAATGTAATCCAACTATAGTACTTAGAGGTAGAGCTAGCAGGACAGATCAGGATTTAATAAGGTCATTAGGGTAGAAATTGGATCTCTGGTTTTATCAAAAGGAAAGAGACCAGAAGAGATGGAGGCACACTAGTATTCTCTGTCTCTTGCCATGAGGTACCTTATACTACAGTTTGGTACTCTGTCAGCAAGAAGGCCATCACCAGATGTGGACCTCTTGATTTTGTACCTACAGAACTGTGAGCCCAAGTACACCCATTTTACAGCTCAGTCTGTGGTACTGTGTTACTGACAACAGAAAATGAACTGTGACAGGCAGTCAAAAAGATGTACTGATGGAAAGTGCCTTTCCTGTTGTATTGATTAAATATGGGAAGCAGGCATTTGGACATTATGCAAATATTGTTTGTATTTAAAACTTCTGTCCACGGATTTTACCATCCATCAGTAGTTCTTGCCCTAAACTAACCAACTGAAAGAAAAGATTGCCTTTCCTTTATTATATTTACTTTTTTGAAATTTTATTATTTATTTATAATAATAAATAAATGTCACCAATGTCAGAACTTGGCAGAAAGCTCAACAAATACAACAAATATCACTTATTCTTTTTAATGATTTGCAAAAACTCTACCAGTGAGGTAGCTGTTATCTCTGAATGAAGCTACAAAGAACAGGGACAATTCTTCCCTACTTGCCTGTGGTGAAAAGAAAACTAGAACTTCCATAGA